TGCAGTCCAGCTTTGCAGCTGATAGTCGAGTGGAGGAGAGGTCGGCTACTCTTATCATGGCCAGTAGACAGTCGAAGAGTGCGCAAGTGGTATCTGGGGTGGCGTCGTTGGGAGATGCATCTGGCTGTGCAGTAAGTCTGTTGGCTATGCGGGGGGATGGCCTCGGCGCACGTTGGCTGACTCTCCAGGTTTGGAGGAAGTGGTTGACTCGTGCTGTGGGAGCTACATATGCGCAATTACAGAGGATTCTTTTGCCGTAGAGAAAGGTGGCTACGTACGTCCATTGTGGGCAGCGTAGTGAGAAGTTGAGGTAGGATTGGAGCCATTGAAGGTCAATGGCTTAGTTTCGGAAGTGTAGGTTGAGGAGTTTAATTCCTCCTTCATTTATTGGTAGGCATAGAGTGTCGTAGAAGATGGGCGGGACAGTAGCGCTATCCCAGATGAAGTCGTGAATGATGCGTGTTAGAGTTCTCTCGATGTGGGCTGGCATACCCATGACTCAGGTGTGGTACTGGCTCATGCCACCTACTATCATGTTGATTATAAGGTGTTTGCCATCCAGGGAAGGTTTGTATTAGCCCCATCGATGTAGGCTGTCGCATATTTTGTTAATGCAGAGCCCCCATACTATGAAGGAGGTGGTCCGGTTGCCTATGTATGCGTCAAGAAGGCAGACGGCATTACCATCAGCTGCAATGTGGACATTATCAGGGATGTTTGCCATTAGAAGGGCTGGTTGACCGGGCTGGAGTAAGAGTGAGGTTATTACAGCTGATTAGTAGCAAGTAGTACCAATTGGAATGATTTCGGTTTTGCTTACATTGAAACGGGCCCCGGAGGCCACGCACCATGTGTCTAGTATGGCCGATAGGTCAGAGAAGTGGTCATATTCTGATAGGTACACCATTGTGTCATCAGCGAATAGTGTGACGATTAGCCGATCTAGGGCTGACGGGATGTGGAAGCCAGATAGTTTGCTCTGTCGAAGCATGGAGGTCAGAGGTTCAATAGCCAGGTTGAATAGTAGACATGATAGGGGGTCACCTTGTTGTACTCCTCGTGTGACTTGAAAGGGGGAGCTACGCTCTCTGTTTATTATGACTGAGGTGTAGGCGTGTTGATAGAGTGAGCGTACCATATGAATAAATTGCGGCGGCAGGTTGAAGCGTTCTAGGACATGCCAGAGGTAGGAGTGTTGGATGCGGTCATAAGCTTTCTTCTGGTCGAGGGCTATGATTGCGCCGTTGGAATCCGTGGCTTCTGCATAGTCGATCATGGCCTGTGCGAGGCAAACTTAGTCAAATATCTGGCGGTTGGGCATGAAGCCCGCTTGGTTTTCATGTATAATGTCGGGTGCGACTGTGAGTAGCTTGTTTGCCAGGGACTTAGTGAAGAGTTTGTAGTCAGCATTGAGTACTGTGATCAGGCAGTAGTTACTTATCAAGTTACGATCATTTTTCTTATATATAGGACATAGCCAGCCCTCCATAAAGGTAGTGGATTGGTCGGCCCCATGGAGTTCAATGTCATTAAACATTAGTTGTAGCACCAGGATGATGTCGAAGGAGGTGGTCTTGCCCTGTTTCAGGGCCTGGTTGTGTTCTCGTGCGAGGTGCTTCCAGAGCTCATAGGGACTGCTGTCTAGACCTGGTGCTTTTCCTGGAGCAGCGCTGTCTAGGGCGGCTGCTACATCATTGTAGGAGAGATTGTCAGATAGAAATTCAGCCGCGTCGGCTGTTAGATGACGGTTGATTGCTTGTAGGGAGGTGCGTGTGGCTGCTGTAAGCGCAGCGAGGCTAGGGTCATCTGGGTCAGTCTGAACTTCGTCGTGGTAGTTGCGGGCTAGTTCCACCATGCAATCTGAGCGTGACTCATGGTTTGGGTTGTCCGGTTGTCCAAGGGAGTAGACAATGTTGCGTGGTTTATGGGTTTGTGTTACTGAGGACCAGTAGTGGCTGACTGTTTCACTAAGTATGCGATATTGAGCCGCAGATGATTTGCAGTTGCTGTCAAATCGTTGGTGTTCAAGATTCGTGATGCGTTTGAGTAAGAGTCCAGCATCACATTGGGACCTTGAGTTGGTGTCAATGTTAGGTTGGGCCAGGATTGCAGTATGTTCAGCTCGTAGCAGTTTGATTTTTGCTTCCATCTTGGGGATTGCGGTGCGTGCTTGATTTCGTACTTTGGTTACGATGTCTGTTTTGAAGGAGGCCCATCGGGTTTGTGGGTTGTTGTCAGCAGTTTGTTGTGTGGAGGCATTTTCAATCTGGAGGAGAAGGTCTTTCCCCCGTTGTTGGATGTAGGAGGCAATCTTTTCATCGTGCCTTAAGAAGAGTGGCATGGTCCAGCATCCAGAGCCGATAAATGGAGTTGTTCTGTTTACAAGGCGCGTTGAAACCATGCTGTGATCTGTTAATAGGCCAGTGCATATGATGTTCCACTGGAAGGCTGTTTGAAGTAGGGTATGTGAAGTGTAAATGCAATTGATGCGTGACTGGCTGCCTGTACTACCTTGTAGAAATGAGAATTCTCATTTGTCGGAGTATGTGGTGTGCCAGCCATTGTAGAGTCCCAGGCATGTTTTTAGTGCATTAAGCTCCACGACAGCTCTGGTGTGGTCAGCATACGGTGGAAGGCAGTCAAGCTCATCTTTGACCAGGTTGAAGTCACCAAGCATGATGTCTGCTTTTGGAAGCGGCGAGTGGTTGGTTGTCCAGTGCTCAAGGAGTTGTGACCAGGAATGTTGGTTCTCAGTGGGGTCATTCGGGGCATAGACATTCAAAAGATGTAGTGTGCAGTCATTCTGCCAGGGAATACTAAGGAGGATGGCTCGACCAGGTACCAAAGTGCGGACGTGTGCATTGGTCACTCTGATGAGGCTAGTATTAACTACAAATGCTACACCACGCGCGTTAGGAGCAGAGGGGTCAGGGGAGTGGAATACTGTAAAGCGGTGTCCGTAGTGTTCAGCAATACGCACTAAGTGTTTGTCAGACAGGTGCATCTTCTGAAGGGCCAGGATGGCGGTCATTTGTTGTTTTATTATTTGGTTGATGTCTGCCCATTTCGATGCAGGGTGTGATCCAGGGTCAGTGTCTCAGCCTCTCATGTTCAGTGAGGCCACATAGAAATTAGCTCGGGTTTTCTGATGTTTGGCTCGAGGAGGCCGCAGCGCAGTATCTGGGTGTGTATGCTGGGGTGTAGCAGGGGATGTATGTGGTGGGTGCGGCTCGGGTGATGGAGCGGAGGTACAGCCCTCACCTGGCTCTGACAAGAGAGTCAATGATGGCGAGCTGGCCATGCCTGCGGTATGGACAGCTGGAGAGAGCCGAAGCTCTGTGACTGGCCTATCGCCAAACTCTGTGTGTCCAGAAAGTGGGTCGACAAGTAGACTTCCTCCCCAAGCGGACACACCGAGGCTAGATCTGACCTGAGTCTCACAAGGAGCTCGAACCGGGAACAGTGCAGGGTTTGTTTCAATATTGACAGGTTTTACTTTGGGTGAGGGCAACCTGCACGTACTGTACCTCAGAGTGCACGGACACCACTAAGATACAGCTGTTGCAGTTAGCAGAAACTCTGCACGGCTAGCCCGCCTAAAAAGGCAGCCGGACGCCGAAGCGTCAGATGGGGATTGCAAAAATGAGGGGGGGGAACCTTCTCGGCTTTCCTGTCCCGCGTACGGTCAGTATATTTGGGCCAAAAAGGGCGGGCAGCAGCTTGTTGGCCCCGTTGCAGCTGCTGCCCTCAGTGTGGGGCTCCCAGCTCCACGTCGGTATGCTTAGGCACCGCCGAGAGTGCCTAGACTAACGCTGGGAGCCAGGTGTCAGCGGAGCTGCACTGTTAACTAGGTGGGCCGTCAGGCCTGTAGTATTTGTGTCATTCGGATGTTATGAGTGGAGGTAATATATTGTTCTGTCTACTAGTATAGTACAGACATTTAGTGGCAGCGTTGGCCTCGGTGCTGGCTATAGTTTTGGCTGTGACGTTGGCCTCGGCCGCGACCGTGTTCACTATGTTCTCCATGCTGTTGGGGTGAGGAGCTTGAGGTCTCGACGTCATTGGTGCGCAGCAGGTGGGCAGGAATGAGCAGCTCTGCTTCTCTGTTAACTGTGGTGGGTGGTGGGCCTAGCCAGCCATCAAGCATGGGGTAGAGGCAGTGGCCAAGCAGATGGTCGGCTCCGAGGCATCCTGGGCACAGTTTTATGTTCGTGTGGATGCGGCCAGTGCCAAACATGCTATGGGCAAAGACGTGACGTGTTACGGCATTGCAAAACTCACGCCATGTTCAGTTGTCCAGCATCAGGGGGCCAATGTAGAGATTGACAAGTGGCCAGGATGTGTGTCCTTTGGAGTCAGACATCCAAAGTATTGTGACTTGAATGGTCAGGAGCAGGCGTCTGATAGCCTGTTCTC